CTTATTACTCACGTCGAGCAAGCTGAACGACCGGACCAACCACGCAAAAACTGCGGAGCTAGATGTGCGGCACGCACAATGCATTGTTTTCGATTGGAGAGAGGCGAGTATAAAGCAGTAAGGAATTGTTGGCCAAACTTTCGGCAGATAGGTCTACTCGGGAGCGTATGTGGGGTAGCGAACATGAGAAGCTGGACGTTGGTGTACGCCCCATCCCGGCGTGTGAGTAGGATCTTAGGCTATGCAAGTCGTCCCTGATCTTATTGTGGTGAAAATGACCTCCCACGAGGAAAGTAGCCTGTATCACGGGACTTAGGAGATGATAAACTTGGTGGTCGGGGGACGTCTGGGTGTTTACCTAGCAGAGCGCCCGACACAAGACTGGGGTACTTGTGCCAGGAGGTGTGAACTTGGATCTAGACTTTTGACGTGGTGGAAGTAGTGGTGAAACCGGAGTTCGAGGAAAGCCTATGGCTTGAGATACCAGGGGAGCGGGGCGGGAAAGGTTCGTTCTAGGGAACGTATACGTCCCACCATCGTCGAAAGAAAGTCGCAAGCAAGGCGCAGGAGAACTTTGGACAAATTGGGGAAGATGTCCAGAGGTTCAGTAGGAAGGGAGAAGTTGTCATGTTGGGCGATTTCAACTCCAGAGTAGGGAAAGCTTCCAGTAGAGGACAGGCGATCGGGCAGCACGGAGAAGACAAAGTGAATGACAACGGAGTGAGGATGCTTGAATTCTTGGGAAGCAACGAACTGATGGTGTTGAACGGTAGGAGGGAATGCGATAAGCCGGAGTTCACAAGGCAACGGGCAGTTTGCAATGAATACTCAATCCTCGACTACATCCTGGTAGATAGGGGAAGCACGCAGATCCCAGAGCTGCACGAAAGTGCGATAGATATAGGTTCGACCGACCACTTCCTCATATGGGCAAACATCGACCGATCTAGAAAGACGGAGAGTAAGAAACAGAGGAAAGTGTTTCGGTGGAAACGAGTGCGTCGGGGGGACGAGGGGGCACGGGATGAATTCCAGAAGGGACTAGCTGGTAGTGTAGAACCCTTCAGGAAACTGCTGAGAAGCGTCGAAGACGGACAGGTAGACGTACAAGCAGCAGGTTGAAGGGTGATTGAAGGGTGGGAGTCCATCGTGAACGCAACGGCAGAGAGAGTAGTGGGAAGGAAGGTGGTACGATGTGGGGTATCGGTTAAGTGGTGGGATGACGAGCTGAAAGAAGAAATAGGGGAACGTAGAGAAGTCTTCAAGCAGTACCTGAGTGAGGCGTCTGAGGAGAGTTGAGAAAAGTTCAGGGCCACGAGAAAACAGGTGTAGGGACTAGTGAACAAGAAGAAAAAGTGTATTTGGGACGAAGTAGTGCAGAAGGCCAACGGAGGCCTGGAGGGAAACGTCAAGCAGATGTGGGAAGGGATTAGTGGAATGGTAAAAAAGACCGCGCAAGGGGGGGATACAGGGGTTGCAACTTTGCGAGGTGTGCACGGTGGACTAGTCAGCAGTGGGAAGGGAAATAGGGAAATTCTAGCAGGACACTACAAGGGACTTGGAGTGCCCTCGGAGGATGAAGCTTTTGATCAAGTGTTTAGGAAGGAGGTGGACGCATGGGCCCAGAAAGAAGAAGAGACATCGAAGGCAGACGTTGGGAACATAGGACTTGAAAAGGTGTTTACTGAGGACGAGGTTGAGGCGTGTGTGGAAAAACTGAAGTACCACAAAGCAGCAGTAGCGGATGGGATAGTCAACGAGTTCATGAAGTTTGGGGGGAAGGGGATGATCCAGCTGATGGTACTGCTGTACAATTGGGTGTGGAAAAACGAGTATACGCCAAGTAGATGGAGGGAAGGAGTGGTTGTGAACTTGTTCAAGAAAGGAGATAAGACTGTCCCAGGAAACTACAGGGGGATCACACTGTTGAACACAGTAGGAAAAGTGTTCTGTAAGCTGCTGAACGATAGGATAGTGGGAGTATTGGAGAAGGAACATAGCATTAGTGAGGGCCAGGCAGGTTTCCGCAAGAAGAGGGGGTGCGTAGACCACGTGTTCACGGTAGGGAGAATCATCCAAGGTAGAAAGAGGGCGGGAAAGCCGACGTACTGCTTCTTCCTGGACGTGAAGAAGGCATATGATACAGT